AGAAATATGAATGTGCACTAACAAGTCCTGGAAAGTTCGGAGGGCGATTCTCGATTTCCCCTTGGCACACAGCAGAAGAACTGTGTCTCTAGGTTCCAGGAAATGCCTGTGAGAGAGCTAAGCCCCCAGATTCCCTTCATCACAGATGACATCCAGTGCTTAAGCCTACACCCCTGTGACCAATCCCCAAGGAGTGTTGACTAATCTAAACCAAAGGCCTCTGATGTCTCCACAGGCAGAAAAGAGCAGGTGGACTGCAAAGAGAATTCCCATGAACGCGGCACTCACAGCCCATAGAGACAGTTCTTACCATGATGCCAAGAAACTGAAAACAACAAGCCAGACTCACACATATTTCATTTTCTTCTCTGATTTCATACTCCCCCTTCAGCCCTCCTCCTCACAAGCAGCAGGGATAACCTGGCGGCTCCTGGGAACCTTTTTCCATTGGGCTTTCCTGCACGTGAAGTTCCCTACCTGGATGAGTCTCCCTGTCACTTATAATTTCCAGCGTCAAGTCTTTAGAAAGAAAAACACCAGGATAAGTCATTAGACAGAGTGACTCACCCACTCCTCCTACTTTAGCTGAAGCTGAATGATGGGCTTTTCTCCCACCCCACGCTGCTTCATACATGATCCCCTCATCTTTCTTCTGGGTTGACAAAGCTTCCTACAGCTTCTTGGGCAAGAGTTCTATACTGGCAAAATCGCTTTCACGAATCCCTGCTTCTTTCCCAGCAGGGACCCAGAATCAGGTTTCTATACAATGAAGCCAGCAAGTTTTTCCCTTTGGGAAGTGAGTTACTCATGGTATATACCGTTTCCTTTCCAAGCTGTTATCTGCAATTATATAAAGAAAAATATGAGAATCAGATTCTGCTGTGCGCTTCACACAGACTGTTATTCTCTGACAACGATAAAAACCAGAAGGCAGTACAGTGATTGAGCCATAGGTCAAAATCCCAAAGACTAGCACAGAGGTGATAGCTATAGAAAAACAAGACTCCTCTATTCACAGAATTTACCTTTAAATTAAATTTTATATGCAAACACACAATGCTTAATTCAAGGAGGAAAACTGTATTGTGGAAAAGGCCAGTATTCCAGTTGATAATGGATGCTGTCATTTAGAAGCAGTATAGTACCACGATCAGTTGGGAAGACACTTTACTGAATTCCAGCCCCACAAAGACAATAGTGTACAGTGTACATAATGTGCATTGCCAGGTTTTCAAATCAAAATTAATTGAGAAGAATCAGGAAAGTAAGATTGCTGTGGAAGACAAAAAAAGTGGGTCTTACCTTGACATCACCATCATCATCATCATCACCATCTTCATTATCACCTTCATCTTTGCATCTTTGCATCAACATCTTAAAAACAGGCCACTGGCCAGGATGAGCTGGAAGGACACAGAGGAAAGATCAGTGCACTGGTGGTTGGTGACTGTGAGTCACACAGGGAGCTTTACTGGATGTGGTGTATGGAGGTGGTTGATGAACAAGCATGACTGAGTTAAGGCTGGGCTATTCCACTGAGGAAGAGGATGGCAGAGGAGGGGAGCAGGAAAGGCATGAGACATGGAGGTCTTGGCCTTGTACTAGAGTGCATCAGGCAGCAACACAAAATGAGTCAACCAAAATGGAAATAAAGACACTGAGGGTCAATGAAAGAGTGCCTTCTCCTCTCAAAATGTTTTGAAAGTCTACAAAACAACAGCATTTTCTTAACGTATTCAAGACTACATGTCAGTATACTAGATCTAAATTATGCTGGCGCCCCACATTTAACATCTGTTTTAAAGGATTTATTACTTTGATTAAAAGCCTATTTTATTGGTGAAATGGACTCAATTTTACCCAAATAATTCTACTCTATTAATCAGCAAAATTCTTTTTCATAGGAGATCATTTAAAAATTCAACATTAAAATGCTATAATTAAAATAGGATGATTTCCATTTGTAAGTCATCTTCTGAAATGACTTCTACTCACCCTTTTGGGGCTCCCAGATCAGGGCTTCAGCAGCTCCTGTGTGACTCTCCCTGGGGAGAGTCACAAACTCCTGGGCTCAAGCAATTCTCCCTCCTCAGTCTCCCTAGCAGCTGGGACTGTAAGTGCATACCACCATGCTGACTAATTAAAAGAAAAAAATTCAGAGACATGCGGTCTCTGCCATGTTGCCCAGGCTAGTCTCACACTCCCACCACAAGCTCTTCCCACCTTAGCTCTCAAAGTGCTAGGATGAGTCACCATCTCGGCCTCAGCAAACAAATACTGATACATTATTACTAACTAAGGTTCATCTTGATTCAGATTTTTTTTACTATTTCCTCTATAATGTCCTTTTCCTGTCCCAAGATCTCATCCAGAGACCATACTATGTTTAGTTCTGGGTCTCCTCAGGATTGCTGGAGTGCAGTGATCATCTCGGCCTACTAAGCAACTCTGACCACCGAGTTCAAGCCTATTCTCCTGCCTCAGCTCTCCCCAGTTGCTGGGACAGGCAGTGAACCCTGCCACCATGCCCAGTTAATTATTTTTTTTTTTTTTTTTTTTGAGAGGAGTCTCCTCTGCCCCCCAGGCCAGAGTGCAGGGACAACTTTGGCTCACTGCAACCTCAAGCCTCCTGGGTTCAAACGATTCTCCTTGCCCCTCAGCCTCCCAGTAGCTGGGATTACAGGTGTGTACTGCCACTCACTGTCTTTTTTTTTTTTTTGGAGACAGAGTTTATGTATGGGGTTTCACCACATTGGCCAGGCTGGACCAGGAACTCCTGGCCTCAGGTCATCCTCTCACCTCAGCCTCCCAAAGTGCTGGGATTACAGGTGTCAGCCACTGTGCCCGGGCTATTCTGCACTTCACTTGCAAAATATTTTTTCCTTTACAATAAATTGCTCTATGCTGCATCACCTTAAGGTGTGATTCTTTATTTAAACTCTTTATTTATTTTAATTATTTATTCTTTTTGAAACAGGGTCTCACTATGTTGCCCAGGTTGGTCTCAAACCTTTGAGCTCAAGCAATCTGCCCACTGCCTCCCAAAGTGCCGGAATGACAGGAATTAGTCACCACACCCAGCCTAAATTCTTTGAAACTGACAACTGCAGCCCCAAAACAGCTGTCAATCATTGTACCACTACTATCCAGCCTGGTCGACAGTGTAAGGCCTCATCTCACAAAAGGAAAAGATATGTCCAAAATAAATAAATAAATAAATATTTTTTTTCTTTTCTTAAAAACAGGGTATCCCAGTCACGCACGGTAGCTCACCTGTAATTCTTGTGAATTTTGGGAGGCTGAGGAAGGTGAGTCATCTGAGGTCAGGAGTTCAAGACCAACCAGGCCTACATTGTGAAACCCCGTCTCTACTAAACAAAACCCACAAAAATTAGCTGACACTGTGGAAAGTGCCTGTAATCCCTGCTACTTGGGAGGCTGAGGCAGGAGAATCACTTGAACTTGGGAGGCGGAGGTTGCAGTGAGCCCAAGAGTGCAGCAGTGCCCTCCAGTCTGAACTCCTACAGAGTGAGACTCCAGCTCAAAAACAAATTCAAACAAAAAAGACAGGGTCTCCCTCTGTTGCCCAGACCAGAGGCAGTGACACGGTCACAGCTCACTGCACCCTTGACTCCCAGGCTCAACTGATTCTCCTGCCTCAGCAGTTGGCACTACTGCACACATCACCATGACATGAACTTTAATCTTTTGTGCTGATGGTCTCGCCATGTTGCCCAGGCTGGTCTTGAACTCTTGGCTCATGATCCTCCTACTAAGTCCTCCTTACAAAGAGCTGAATCACTTTGTAAGGTGAGCTATCAGACTGGCCTGGGCTGCCTATTCCCTGGAGCATGATGTGTAGCAAGGGAGCTAGAGTGAGAGCAGCACCGTGGGGAAGGGGACAGACTGCCACCCTGAGCCAGGTGACATTAGCCAGACCCCTCTTCTCCGCCGCAGACCAACCACGAGTGATCCTAGAGCCCATGTCTACCAGACAGCCCGGATTTTAGCTTCGTAGGTGGATGGGAACCTTGCTTTAGAGATGCTGGGAGAACCTTTTCCTGGGAGAGCTTTCCAAATAGGAACAAACAGAGCCACCTGGGGCCTCATGAGGAGGATCCTAACAGAAGCCGTCACTGTGTCGCTCCACGCCCGGTGGTGATGGTGGGATGTTGCCATCGATGCAGGTGGAAGTTGGCGCTTGCAGGACAGAAGCACAGACTGCTGCAGGCCTGTGGAAGTTGAAGAAGTCAAAGTCTCTGTTCTGGACAAAGTAACCCTTGGGATACCTAGGGCGGGAGGACTGTGGTTCCGCTGGGCCCTTGCCATGGGTCTTTTGCTCCTCAGCTCACTTGCCTCCCCAGATCAGGGCCTTCGTGGGGCGCCACCTCTATCCCTGGCAGGAAGACCACAGGGTGGGGCGGAAGGTGGGTGCCTGCAGTGGAGGCAGGATGGCACCCACTTGGACGTGGTTTGCCGCCGCACGGATGGTCCCTGAGTGGCAGGGGTGGGGTGGCGCCGTACTGTTGATGGCGACAGGAGACGCAGAGGCGGGAGGGCAGGGGCTCCCCACTGAAACAGGCTGCTGATGTCAGCCTCGAAGGGGAGGTAGCCCCTTTCATGCTCTAGCCTGTGGACACCATTCACCCACTGCAGACACAGGAGATATGGGGAGGGGGTGGCAGGTCGGGGCATGAGGAGGGATTCTGCTATTGGGCACTCACATAACCCGGCAGCATGGGGCCCAGGGGGCCTGCCAGCCAGACGGGAAGAATGACATCCCAGTGGGGTAGATCAGGCCACCTATCCTCTCTGCAAAGTGCACAGCCCCCCAGGGCAGAGTAAGGCTCCTAATCATCTCCAACCCAGGAGACAGGCTGTGGGTGGGAATCTGGAGGGTCCATGTTGTTTAGCAGCTGTGCTCTACTCACCCTTCCTGCCTGCTCCTGGGTCGCACTGACCACAATGGCATAGAAGTGGGCACTGCCAATCCTCAGCCACTCTTCTGTGTGCAGGTCCTGGATCCATCGCTTCAGCAGGGTCACCTCCCATTCATACCACACCCAGCTAACAAAATGCCTGGCTGATACTTCATTGAAGATGCAGAGAACCGGTATGTCCAAGGTGGGGCCCGACTGCGAAAAGAAGGGCCGGGCTCAGCTCCTAGGCCCCCAAAGGGATCCGACCAGTGTGCCGTACAGCTGTGCCCCAGGCCCAGCACAAGCCCTGACATGGCGACCTCAGTGGAAAAGATAGATAACTTGCTGATGACAGGTCAACTGCCAGGGCACTTTGTGCACCTGGGCCACTGGGGTCAGGAGTTCGAGACCAACCTGGCCAATATGGTGAAACCCCATCTCTACTAAAATACAAAAATTAGCTGGGTGTGGTGGCGGCGCCTGTAATCCCAGCTACTCAGGAGGCTGAGGCAGGAGAATCGCTTGAACCCAGAAGGCGGAGGCTGCAGTGAGCCAAGATCATGCCATTGCACTCCAGCCTGGGTGACACAGCGAGACTCTGTCTCAAAAAAAAAAAAAAAGAAAAGAAGATGTAGACCAGCAAACGCGGCCCAGACCCTCACCGGATCCCCTCCTTTGCTGACCACATCCAAGTCAAGAGGGCAACAGGGGTGGGCGTTTCTTTGGCCTGATGTCACAGTCTGTCCTCTATCTGAACCCTGAAACCCAAGGTACCTTTCCCTTGGCAGAGCCGACATCAGAATGTCTAAACTGTTCCCTTCTCCGCGATTCTCGGGCCCAGCCTGTGCGGGCCTGCCCCTAGGCCTGACGAGTGTCTGGTGGCTCATGCCTATAATCGCTTTGGGAAGTCAATCGTGGAGTGGATGGCTTGAGGCCAGTAATTCGAGATCAGCCTGGATAACGTACTGAGACCCTGTATCTTAAAAAACAAAACAAAACCAACAAGCCAAAAAGCTGGGTTTTGTATTGAGACGGAGTCTCAGTCTGTCGCACAGGCTGGAGTGCAGTGGCTTGATCTCGGCTCACTGCAAACTCCGACTCCCTGGTTCAAGCAATTCTCCGCCTCTGCCTCCCAAGTAGCTGGGATTACCGGTGCGCATCACCGCGCCCCGGCTAATTTTTATATTTTTAGTAGAGACGGGGTTTCACCACGTTGGCCGGGCTGGTCTTGAACTCCTGGCCTCAGGTGATCCGCCCGCCTCGGCCTCCCAAGATGCTGGGATTACAGGCGTGAGCCACCAACCCCGACTCAAGTTTTTTTCTTTGTTTTTTTGTTTGTTTGTTTGTTTGTTCGTTTTTAATAGGCATGGCGGTCCCAGCTTTTAACTTGCAAGGCTGGGGCGGAGACTCGCTTTTGAGCCTGAGAAGCTGTGGATTGCGCCACTCCGCCTCCAACCTGGGCGGCAGGACCAAACCCAGTCTCAAAACATTTCAAAAAGTAAAATAACAGGAAAGGACTGCCTGGGCTCAGCCTTCTGCCTCCGACGCGGCTGACAGGAGCGCTTCCTCCTCCTTCCGCCTCTCCGCCCTGGGCCTCCCGGGTCCCCCTACTCCCCCAGGATCCCCCGTCCTCCGACTCCGCGCCCCCAAGCCCGTTGACCTTTAACCTCCTCCGGGGCCCCAGCTCCAGGGCACTCAGGTGAAGGAGGGTGCAGGGCGCCGGGGCTTACGCCATTCCCAACGCCGGGCTTCCGGGCGCCTTCTCCCAACGGTCGCCCCTACCTCTGCTCCTGAAGCCCCAGGAGTCGGTTGTGGAGAAGTCGGCTTGGAAGCTTCAGGGCCCTGAGCCCTTGCCTCCCGCGACGGGCTCTCTCCCTGGGTGTACAGCATCGGGCACAGCAGCGCCTGCGCGCAGCCACACAACAGCGGCCCCAGAGCCGCCCAGCGCACCGCCACCACCCAAGTCATACTTCCCGCTCCCTGTCTTTGCAGCCAGTCTGAGGGGATGAGAGCGGAGTGGGGAAAGCCCTGCGGGCCTGTCGCGTGAGGCGCCTGCCCCGTGACGCGAGCTGTCGGCGCCATGTTTGTTGAGGGCGAGTGCCAGGCCTGAGGGGCGGGGCTGGTGCCAGAGGCTGCCCACTAGGCCTTTGGGGAAGCGGGACTCCCACCTCCTCAGCTCCAGCTGAGAAGGGCATTGTCTGCTGCCATCCCAGCAGAGGCTGGACGATCCAGGGCCACAGGCCAGGGCAGAACTCCCGAGATTGCTGCATTCCCCTTTCTTCAAGGGGCACCTCCACTTGCTTTCCCCAGCAGGAATTGAGCAGGCCTCAGAAGAGCTTCCTTCCATGACTGCTGGATGCATCTCTTGCAGGATGCACGCCCTGGGAGGCGGCTGTAGCCTTGACAATGGACGTCTGGGACTCGACTCCTAACCAAGGGGACAGATGATCCTTCTTGGCTTTGAAGATACAGGGAGAGAGGCCAAGTGCAGTGGGTTTGCCGCCTATAATCCCAGCACTTTGGGACAGCTGAGGTGGGCGGATCACTTGAGGGCAGGAGTTCGAGACCAGACTGGCCAACACGGCGAAACTTCTCTACTGAAAATACTAAAAAAAAAAAAAAAGAAGAAGAAAAGAAAGGAGCCAGGCGCTTTGTAATCCCAGCTACTCAGGAGGCTGAGGCTGAAGAATCACTTGAAGCCAGGAGGCAAAGGTTGCAGTGAGCCCAGGTCACACCACTGCAGTCCAACCTGGGTGACAGAGCAAGAATCTATCTCAAAAAAAAAAAAAAAAAAATTGCAGGGAGAGGGTACCTATGTGGACCCCCACTTTACTCCAGTAGGGAAGGCACCGTGTGGAAGGGTAGAGGAAGAGATCTGGAGACAGTAAAAAAGACATAGGTTTATTAAGGGGACTTTCACACAGGTGCAGTGGCTGTGGCTGGACATGAGAACCACATTTGTAAAAAGCATGCAGCTTCCATAACATTTTCACCTAGCATCCTCGACCTGTTACCGGTGTAGCGTATCCAGTTCCCCGGTGGTGAATCCATACAATCGAAACAACTCAATTCTCTTGCCTCTCAGAAGAAAGAATTTGACTGAGGGTCATAAGGTAGAAACCAGATAGAGGCAAGTTGCAGAGCAGGAGTAAAATTTACTAAAAGCAGGCCAGAACGGGCATGGTGGCTCATGCCTGTAATCCACTACTTTGGGAGGCTGAGTGTTGGCTTTTGCCTGTGAGTGTGATTCCCTCCAGGCCCCTCAGGAAGAAATTTGAAACAAAGAATGCCAGTCAGAGTTCAGTCCTCGGTTCACCCTTATCTGAGGTCGAAGGGAAAGCTGTCACCATTTTTCATCCAGTGGAGATCTGCGCTCGAAAACAACTTAGGGACATTTGACAAGATGTTATCTTTACTTTCTATAGGGATCAATATCTTGTGGCTCTAAACTGACTTGGGTGGCCATTGTTCTGAGCTATTATTACCTTTTTCTTTTTCTTTTCTTTTTTTTCTTTTTTTTTGGAGAGGGAGTCTCATTTGTCTCTCAGGGGTTGGAGAGCAATGGCCCAATCTAAGCCCAAATGGGCAATCGTCCACCTCCGGGTTCAAACAATCCTCCTGTATCAGTTTCAGTAGCTGGGATAACAGGCATCCGTTATCACATCCAGCTGATTTTTGTATTTTCAGTGACATGGGATAGTTTCACCATGTTAGCCAGACTGATCTGGAACTCCTGACCTCAGTTGATCTATCTGTCTTGACCTCCCAAAGTGCTGGGATTACAGGTGTGAGCCAGTGCACTCCAGCCAATGCTTTTCATTCTTCTTATCAAGTTGCTAATTTACTTCTCAAGAATAGCTAAGTGCTGAATTTCCTTGAAGGCTAATGTGGTTCGGTATACCTCCAAATCTCATGATGAGATATGATTTCCAGCCAGGTGCAGTGGCTCACACCTGTAATCCCACCACCTCCTCCTCCTCCAACTCCTCCTTTTCCTCCAACTCCTCCTCCTCCTCCAACTCCTCCTCCTCCTCCTCCGCTTTCTTTATCCTCCTCCCCTCCCTCCACTTCTTTTTCCTCCTCCTCCTAAGCATTTCTTTTTCCTCCTCCTCCCTCAGTTTCTTTTTTTTTTCTTCCTTCTTTCTTTTTTCTTCCTCCGTTTTTCCTTCTCCTCCATTTCTTCTTCCTACTTCTCCTTACAGGCATGAGCCACTACACAAGGCCTTGGCTGTTTGTTTCTTTCTTCCCATCCTCCACTTTTCCTCCCTCCTTCCTCCTCCTCCCTTCCTCACAGGCAACAGCCACCATGACTGACCTGGCTGTTTTTCCCCTTCCTCCTCCTGCTCCTCCTCCGCCTCCCAAATTGCTGGGATTATAGGCCTGAGCCACCACACATAACTATTTCTTCTTTCTTTTTTCTTCCCTCTCTTTCCTCCTCCTCCTTCTTCACTTCATTTTACTTTTTTTGATGAGTCTCACTCTGTTGCCCAGGCTGAGTACAGTGGCGATCTCGGCTCACTGCAACCTCCACTCGGCCCAGCCTCCCACATCGGGATTACCAGTCCGCCACCATGCCTATTCAATTTTTGTACTTTTAGTAGAGACAGGCTTTCACCATGTTGGCTAGGCTGGTCTCAAACTCCTGACCTCGTGATCTGTCCACCTCCACCTCCCATAGTGCTGGGATTACAGGCATGAGCCACTGCGCCAGATTCTTCTGGCTTTTTATTTTATTTATTTTATCCTTGAAATGGAGTTTCGCTCTTGTTGCCCAGGCTGGAGTGCAATGGCGTGATCTTACTCACTGCAACCTCCACCTCCTGGGTTCAAGCGATTCCTGTGCCTTTTAGCCTCCTGAGTAGCTGAGATTACAGGCACTTCCCACCACACCCGGCTAATTTTTATATTTTTAGTAGAGACAAGGTTTCCTTTCTATAAGGCCAGGCTGGTCTTGAACTCCTGACCTCAGGTGATCCGCCTCCTTGGCCTCCCAAAGGATTAGCTGCCAGTTACTGCTACTGGCCGTCTAAGCAGCTCATTTCTTACCACAGAAATCTTTGCGCCTCTCCACAAAACTGCCATCAGAGATGTCCCCAGAAACCGTTCATCCCAGGTGCCATGCAGAGAAAAGTCTCTTGTTCTCCTTTTCCCTTTACCTCTTCCCTCTCACCTCATCTTGTTCATTCACTCATCCCTTTTCCATTCTCACTTTTAAGCGTTAACCTTTCAAAAGCCTGTCTTCCCCTATAAGTAAAGTATTGTAACTCCCGCCATCACCATATCCTTCTCCAACTCACCAAACTGCCAAGGATGGTAAGTCCATAAACTAAGAAGAAATGGGAAACATTCATTGCAAACTTGGCAGCCCCTCAGTCACCCAACGTGACAGCACGGATCTTCTGATCTTTGAACACCCTTTTTTTTTTTTTTTTTAAGACAGATGTCACTCTGTCACCCAGGTTCAGGTGCAGGTGCAATCACAGCTCACTGCAGCCCCCCAACTCCTGTGCTCAGGCGATCTGCCTGCCTCAGCCTCCCAAGCAGCTGGAACTACAGGAACACACCACCACACCCAGCTAATGTGCTTATTTTTTGTAGAGATGGGGTCTTGCTCTGCTTAACAGGCTGGTCTCAAACTCCTGGCTTCAAGGGATCCTCCTCCCACCTTGGCCTCCCAAAGCACTGGGGATTACAGGTATGAGTCACCATGCCCAGTCTGAAGACTTAAACGCTGCCATAGTCAAGATATCGCTGAAACTCACCTGTGTTTGATGAGCCTACTTTTTGCAAGTGAGTAATATAAAACACACTCAAATACCTTAAGCTTCTCAGGCTTTGTGCCTTCCTCTGGAATAATCAGTGTATCCCAAAAGTAAATCCATAATGAGGTCCAGTTTTTCCTTCCTCCTTGGCTATGAAATAGACAAGAAAAAGGCAAGCAAGCCCTGTCCACATCACTGTAGAGAATCCCCGTTTGCTTTTTTGACTGTATTTGGGAAGTGGGGCCTGACTGCTTTCCTACTTCCTAAGCACAACTTCCTTTACCTAGAAAATCCTCAGCAACCAACACGGATTAAACCAGTTTCCTCACTTTGTTTCCAATATTCTTACAACCAAAATGTCCCGAAAGGGCAAAGCAACCTGAAAAAATGAGGACGGGTACATTATCCCATGAGCCAAACTGCCACTTACACTGGTTAGTCATGAAATCGGCAAAATTCCAGAGATGAGCCTCCAACCATGTATTTGTGTTCTTGATCCAGACCTGATATACTGCTCAGCAGACTGTTCTGGTAGTCTTCACTGAACATCAGAGATGGATCCTGGAATTCAAGGCAAAGAGAATTTAGAAATGAACTGCAGAATTGTAAATGCTATAAAAATAAAGATCCACGGTGATGAAAATATCTGACTCCTCGCAGGGGGCTGTAGTGACTGCAGGATTCACTGGATGCTAGGCAAAGACACAGGAATGATCTAACCCAGAGTCAAAAAAGGAGGTTTAAAAACCCCATGGTCAGGCATGCTGGCTCACGCCTATAATCCCAGCACTTTGGGAGGTTGAGGCCAGGCAGATCACAAGGTCAGGAGAGATCGAGACCATCCTACAACATGGTGAAACCCTATTTCTACAAAAATACAAAAAAATGAGTTGGGCATGGTAGTGGCTTGTAGTCCCAGCTACTCAGGAGACTGAGGTAGGAGAATGTTGTGAACCTGGGATGTGGAGGTTGCAGTGAGCAGAGATTGTGCCACTGCACTCCAGCATAGGTAACAGCAAGACTCTGTCAAAAGAAAGAAAAGAAAGAAAAGAAAGAAAGAAAGAAAGAAGAAAGAAAGAGAAAGAAAGAAAGAAAGAAAGAAAGAAAGAAAGAAAGAAAGAAAGAAAGAAAGAGAAAGAAAGAAAGACATTAATTAGTAACTGCTTTATTTATAAATATAATTATATTCATTCATCTTATTATCAGATCGGATTTGCACAAGCAGCCCAGCTGGGAACTGACATTTAAAAGGCCTGGACCAGGCATGCCTGGTGTCACATCTCAGCAGTTTGGGAGGCTGAAGTGGGAGGACTGCTTGAGCCTGTAGTTCAAGACCAGCCTGGGAAATATAGCAAGACCCCATCTCTACAAAAACTACAAAAAGTAGCCAAGCATGGTGGCACACAGCTGGGGTCCCAGCTACTTGGGAGGCTGAGGTGGGAGGACTGCTTGAGCCCCGGAGGTTGAAGCTTCATTGAGCTGTGTTTGCATCACTGCACTCCAGCCTGGGTGACAGAGCGAAACCCTATCTTAAATAAATAGATGTATGTATGTATGTGTGTATGTATGAATGTATAATGAAATTAAACCAGGTTGGGCATGGCAGCTCAGGTCTGGAATCCCACACTTTGGGAGGTCAAGGCAGGAGGATCACTTGAGCCCAGGAGTTCAAGACCAGCCTAGGCAACACAGTGAGACCCAGTCTCTACAAAAAGTTTAACTATTAGCCAGCTGTGGTGACGCATGCCTGTGGTTCCAGCCACTTGGGGGCTGAGGAGGTGGGAGGATCATTTGAGCCCAGGAGGTTGAGGAGTGAGCTGTGATTATGCCACTGCACTCCATCCTGGGCAACAGAGTGAGGCTGTCTCAAAAAAAAATTATTTTTAATTAAACTAAATAAATTCAGCTATTCTAGTCATATATCAAGACCTCAATAGCCACATGTAGTTAGTGGCCACCATTTCACACAGTGCAGATATGGCGCATTTCATCATTGCAAGGGTTCTTTTTTTTTGAAACAAGGCTTCACTCTGTCCCCAGGTGGGAGACAGTGGTGCAATCATGGCAGACAGCAGCCTTCTGACCTACTGGGCTCAAACAATCCTCCTGACTTCCGCGTCCCAAAGTAACTGGGACTACAGGCAAGCACAACCATAACCAACTAATTTTATTTTTTATTTTTCTTATTTTTTTGAGACGGAGTCTTGCTCTGTCACCCAGACTGGAGTGCAATGGCACGATGTTAGCTCACTATAACCTCTGCCTCCTGGTTCAAGCAGTTCTCCTGCTTCACTCCTGAGTAGCTGGGATTACAGGTGCACACCACCACACCCCAGCTAATTTTTGTATTTTCTTAGTGGTATCACGAGGTTTCCAGCATGTTGGTCAGGTTGGACTCGAACTCCTGACCTCGTGATCCACCCACCTCGACATTCCAAAAATGCTGGGATTACAGGTAAGCCAGCCACCATGCCCGGCCGCAACTAATCTTAAACTGTTTGTAGAGATGGGGCTCATGTTGTGCAGATTGGTCTCAAACTCCTGGGCTCAAGAGAGCCTCTGACCTCGGTCTCCCAAAGTGCTAGCATTCCAGGTGTGAGCCACCACACCCAGCACCTGCAGCACCCAGGTCTACTGAAGCACTTAGAAACTTCTCAAGAGTTTCTGAAGAATTCAGAACTGGGGCTGTGGCATGGTGGCCTACGCCTGTAATTCCAGCACTTTGCGCAGGCCAAGGCAGGTGGATCCCTTGAGATCATGTTCAAGACCAGCCTGACCAACATGGTGAAACCTCATCTCTACTAAAAAAAAAAAAAAGGTTAGGAGAACGTGGTGGTGCATACCTGCAACTAAGTTACTTGGGAGGCCGAGAGAATCACTTGAACCGGGAGGCAGAGGTAGCAGACAGTCAAGATTTTCATGCCATTGAACTCCAGCTCAGGTGACAAGAATGAACTCTGTCTCAAACAAAAAGAATTCAGAACTGGTTACTTCCTTTCAAAGAGGATGGCAAGGTATATCCACTCCAGCCACTTCCCTCCTACTTGACTAGTTTGCAGAAGTGGCATCTGTAAGCACGATAAATTTATTGGTTCAAACAGAACAGCGCAGTCCACTGTGGGTGGCTGTTCTTTATGTGTCAATGGGAGTCCCAGGAGCTGTGACAAACAAGGGTGAGCTGGCTGGGAAGGGAACGAGGGGCCGATGGGGTTCAGGAATCCACATGAAAAATAAACAAAAAAACGATAAGATATAGCAAACTCCTCATCTTTTTTTGGTGAGGAAGACAAAAAAATAGAGAGGGATAATAAAATGAGGACAGGCACAGGCGTGGTGGCTCCTTATCTATAATCCCAGGATTTGGGCAGGGGCCGAAGCAGGCAAATCACTTGAAGTCAGGAGTTAGAAAGACCACTTGGGCACGGGTGATAGGAGGCTGTCTGGAAACAAAGGCCGGTAAGGAGGCCACCTTTGGAGGACCAAGCGAGTGGGGGCAGAGGCCTGGCTGCTGGCAAGAAGAATGGGATGGGGTAGTGAGAGCCCAAGGTGAAGCAAGGAGCACTGCAGGGCACAGCCAGGCTGGGGGAGGCGAGTGACATCTCTGCCCAGAGAGAACACACAATCACAAAGTTCAACACCATTTACCTGGTGAAACCCTACACCCTGTCCCTCTGTACTCACTCTGAATAATGGGCTTACATAAGTCTTACACCAATTCTCAACTGGGTGTGGGCCAGCTGCAGCTGGAATCAACTCCAGGTACCCGAATGGGATACCAAGTGTACTAGCTGTCTACAGATCACATCCACATACGGAGCCCAGGACCAGAGCGGCAAAGCCTAATTCAGCACCCAGAAGACTGCATGACTCAGCACTCACACACTACGGGGCCTTCTGCAGAGAAGGTAAGAAGGGGATGTAATCCCAGCATTCTGGAAGGCTGAGGCAGGAGAGTGACTTGCGGCCAGGAGTTCTGAGACAGCCTGGGCAACACAGCGAGATTCCTAGCTCTACAAAACTAGTAGTAAGAAAATTAGCGTGATGGTCGTGGGGGCGCGGTGGCTCAAGCCTGTAATCCCAGCACTTTGGGAGGCCGAGACGGGATGGATCACGAGGTCAGGAGATCGAGACCATCCTGGCTAACACAGTGAAACCGTCTCTACTAAAAAACTAGCTGGGCGCGGTGGCGGGCGCCTGTAGTCCCAGCTACTCGGGAGGCTGAGGCAGGAGAATGGCGTAACCCGGGAGGCGAGCTTGCAGTGAGCCGAGAGATCTGGCCACTGCACTCCAGCCCGACGACAGAGCGAGACTCCGCCTCAAAAAAAAAAAAAAAAAAAAAAAAAAAAATTAGCGTGGCACAGTGGCTCACGCCTGTAATCCCAGCACACTGGGAGGCCAAGGTGTGAGGATCACCTGAGCCCAGGAGTTTGAGACCAGCCTGGTCAACATCACAAGACCGCATTTCTACAAAAAAAAAACAAAACAAAACAAAACAAAAGACTAGAATGAGGAGAGCTGCCTCTTGGGGCTAAGAACATGCAAGAGCACCAAGTCAAATCCTGAAATTACCCTGCCCCCACCAGCAAAAAAAATCATGGTCACAAAGTGGTTAAAAGGAGGCAGGTTTCAGACTGCACACTGACACTACCACGTGTGCAGGTGGGAAGGGCTATGGGGGAGGGCAGAGCAGCTGCCAATGCACAGTCTCTGGCCAAAGCCCAGGCTCCCCGCCACTGAACTGACTCCTCTCAGGCAGCGCTCCATCACTGCCCCTCCCTTTGCCCTGGAGAAGGCCTCCCGAGGGGCCGAGTGTAGTCATTGTCACAGAGAATCTCTGTTTTGTTTTGGAGACAGTCTCGCCTGTTGCCCAGGCTAGAATGGAGTGGCGCAATCTTGGGCTGGTGCAACTCTGCCTCCCAGGCTTAAGGAAGGAAGGAAGGAAGGAAGGAAGGAAGGAAGGAAGGAAGGAAGGAAACGAGAGAGAGAAAGAAAGAGAGAAAGAGGAAAGGAAAGGAAGAATGAAAGAAAGAAGAAAGAAAAAGAAAGAAAGAAAGAGAGAAAGAAAAATTAAGAAAGAAAAGAAAGAAAAAGAAAGAAAGAAAGGAAAAGAAAAGAAAGAGAAAGAAGGAAGGAAGGAAAGGAAGAAGGAAAGAAGGAAGGAAAGGATGAGAGGAAGGAAGGAAAGTAAGTTGGGGGATGAGGGAGACCTTCAGGAAGAACAGTTAATGGACTTCATACCTAGGTGATGGGTTGATCTGTGCAGCAAACCACCAAGGCACGTGTTTATCTATTTAATAAACCTGCACATCCTGCACATGGACCCCTGAACTTAAAATACAAGTTGGAGAAAAAAAATGAATAAATCTTGTCGGGGTTAGTGGCTCACACCTGTAATCCCAGCATTTTGGGAGGCCAAGGAGGGAGGATGGCTTGAGACCAGGAGTTCAAGACCAACCTGGGCAACATAGCAAGACCCTGTCTGTACA